GCGACACGGAGGGCCTCCTGGACGCGAAAGCTGACGAAGTTGCGGCCGTGGGCGGTGGAAGCGAGCGCCTCCTCCAGGTAGACAGAGGGGAAGAGGGCCGTGCTCTCGGCCCACAGCCAGGCCAGCTGGTCGTTTCGGGAGACCTCCACGTCGGGGCAGCGGCCGGTGTAGGTCTCCCAGTTCTGCACGTAGTCGTGGTTGTAACAGTCGGGGAAGAGGTAGAAGCCCCAGAGGTGCTGGGGCCGAAATCTCTTGGCGGAGCGCAGCGTCCTCAGCATGAACTCCCGAGCGCCGAACTCGAACTCGTACTGCGCCTGCTTGCTGACGCGGTCTGGCGGCCAGTCGGGGTGGCGGCTGGCCACCAACTGGCGCGACAGCTGGCGGTATACGTCCTTGTCCTGCCAGTTGCGCACCCACACGGGCCGCCAGTCCTCCCAGTCGATGACCGCCAGGCCCGCGGGCTCCTGCCTGCGGATGTAGTGCTCCACGCGCTCCTGCAGCATGTCCAGGTGCGCCCGCAGGACGCTGTCATTCTGGGGCACCCCACCGTGCACCGGCTTCTTCCCCTCCGGATCGAAGTAAGGGTACAGGCCTAGCCGCTCCCGGTAGAAGATGGTGATGTTCTGGTCCACGAAGCCCTCGTTAGGGGAGGCCTGCACGTCGAAGGCCTTCTCCTCCAGGTCCAGCGGCACCTTGAGGCGTGGGCCACAGTCCTGCGTGGGCACGTCCCATGCCACCACGAAGGGCCGGCCGGTGAAGATGGGCGTCGCTGTGGGCTTGAGCTCCTTGGCCCGTGCTACCGCCAACGCCAGGGCCAGGGCCAGGATGATGGCGGGGCTCAGGCCTGCCCACATGCTGGGGGCTGCAGGAGGAGGGGTCACCTGCCTGGCACCGGCTCAGGAGCTGAGGAAAGGGTGAGAGGGAGCAAGTCAGCCCAGAGAGCCTGGAGGGGCGGCCGCTAACCCGTCCACCTGCCGAAGCCCACGCTGTCAGACCCTGGGACCTGCTGTCACAGGTCGGAGACCACAGGCCACCGCGGGGCAAGCAAGACCCCCGGGAGCTCACGGCAGGCGCTAAGCAGTGGCCTCGGCTGGGAAAGGACCTGTTGGGTCTGTGACCCCTGAGAACTGGGCGAGTCCAGCTACTGACTCGCTGCTGAGACACTCAGATGCCCGCCCCCCTCCCCCCCATCGCTTCGCAGCGCCCAGACCCGAGGCCCACGGTACCCGGTGAAGAGCTCTCGGTCCAGAGAAGCGCTAGCATTCGG